ACTAAATAGGTATCGAGTTTCAGTTCTGCAAGCTGATCAAGTTGTGGGGACCTGTTTTACAGCAATGTGAATATACTTAACATTACTCAGCTGTCAACTTAAAAGTGCTTAAGACAGTAAATTTTGTATGTTTTTTCGACAATAAATTTTTTTAAGAAAAAATATAAAGAAATCCAAATTTTTTCCCCCTCCTGAATGGGGAGGGAGAAAAGAAATGGGAGTAACTTTTTCCTGTTTTGTAAATGTATGCCTTTTCATTTCTGGGGCATTCCACATCTGCCACTTGCACACAGAGAGAAGAGAGTTTAAACCTTCAACATGAAGATCTGAGATTTCTAAACTCCAAATCAGGCACTAAAACCCATGAGAGAAGCCTAGGCTGGGATATTTACCTTTGGATCCCATTTCCAGAGAAGAATCTTGCTCATGGTAGGACACACCAGGGAACCAGCGAGAACAACCAGTCTATGTCAATGAGCATTCCTGACTACAAATAACTGAAATGGATGCTGGCAACTTAAAAGGAAAAAAAATGTATGGAGGTATAGTCGGGGAGCTCATAGAATCCAAATTAAGGCTAGAGGACCAGTTTAGAAAACAGGAGGAATTTCTGTGCCTGGGAAGCCAAGAACACACCCAGACCACATCCCAGGATCAGCCACCTTAGGACGCCAGCCACGGCTATGCCTCGCCCCATTAGCCCCGGACACTCACTGAGCCACCTCCTACTCATCCTGTGTTTCTGCATCGTTCCCTTGATGTGCAAACCTGAGCTGGGAAGAACTGATTGCATTTGCCAGGGAGCTTTCATTTCGGTGAGGAATTCCTCCCAATGGGCAAGATATTCAAAAGCTAAAGGAGAGGGAAAAGGCAACTGGCCACACTGGCTAGCAAGTAGCTCAGCAGCTGTTTATATCTCACATGCCTAGCGCATCCAGCTTAACATAAAGTAATAAGTTTCCAGCCAATTCCAGGGAACAGGAGAAGCTTCATATTTACTGGATCCCGTCACTTGCAGTATGGTGTGTTTCCACAGGTCATCTGACCAGACAAGATCCCTCATAAGCCATCCCTGGTAAAGCACGGTGCACAGGAGCAGGTGGGGCGAATGCAGCCATGGTTAGTTGCCCTCTAGTGCTTTTCCTTTTGTCAGAGTTGAATTTATCCGACCTTGATAAGAACAGACACTGTCTTCACAACTCCTGCTGGAACCGACTATAAAGACAGAATGCACACACCAGCTCTGCTGTCACCATCACCACGGGACTAATGCTGCTCAAACAGAGAAGATGCCATTTATCCGGCACAGTTTAATCAGTATGGAAGCTGCTGGCCAGCTGCCAGACAAAAATGTCCATAGACTCCGTATGGCAAAGATACATAGAGATTTAGAAAGTCATAAAGGGGTGAAAATAAGGGGAAGGAATTAACTTTATTTCACATCACATCCTTTTATTCATTAAATACATTCCTCTACTTAAAGGACTCTGAAGACTTCTGCTTTTATGGTGATGGAGCAAAGATGTCTCTACTTCCTTTCTCTTGAGAGGTCAATGAAATACCAAGGGTTAAAAAAAAACATTCTATTTTTTAAATAAGACTGGGAGACGTCAATGGTCCTGAACCATAACATAAGCAGGAAGTGGGTAGAAAAATGGTGAGGGATGTTCGAGAGCAGAGGGTGGTCAAACCTCAGTGTCTGCAGAACAGCATCACCAAGAAACAAGCTGCAGGACCCGGCGAAACATCAGGAATTGGAAGTGCCAGCTCTTGTGAAGATGGGGTGAGTGGCCAATGGCAGGAGACAGGGAGACTGTTTGAAAGTCTGTAGAAGCAGCAGATACACTGCCAGGTGCCTCACTCTCCCCAGAGGAGCTACACTGTTAGTAGACATGGCATCTCAGAAGCAACAAACTTATAAACAGCAGCGCTGAAGGGAGTGGGGGGTGAAAATGGGGATACGAAGTGAGTTATGTGCATGATAGAATGTGACCCTCCAGTTCTCTCCCCCTACAGGTCCAGAACTCCAGAAGCCAGGCTGATAGATATTCCTGAAGCAAGAAACTGAAGGGCCATTCTCTGGGAATATTAAACCACCATCAGAGAAAAGGCCACAGACAATACTATCAGTATCTGCAGTGAGAATGCTAACAGGCTACCCAGTCATCGTATAGCGAGGTCCAGTGAGAAACAAGCCTACAGGCGTATACAGGCACACACAGCTTCTAATCAGCCTTCTAGTGCCTCATCACTTAAATAAACAAAAGACGAGGATCATCAGACATCTGAGGAAGGCTCACCACACCCATAGAAAGGACCACGATAAACAAAGTGAAAAAAAGGAAATTAGCGGAAACATGGACAATACTAGAAAAGAGAAGAAAATGTCAAACAAATCATATTTAGTGTCGCCATTGAGCTAAGATCTCGCATTCATCTCATAAAAGCACAACGTTAAGAAAGTAAAAAAGAGGGAAAAAAAGATGACATAAAAAAATTCAATGATACGTATAAAATAGATAAACAACAAGGTCCTACTGTATAGCATTGAGAACTATATTCAATATCTTGTAATAACCTACAGCGGAAAAGAATCTGAAAAAGAATATGTGTGTGCATGTGTGTGTGTGAATTACTGAATTTACTATATCGTACACCAGAAACAACACAACATTGTAAATCAACTATACTTCAATATAAATTTTTTTTTAAAAATCCAACAAAAGAATCCACGGGTAATTTAGAGAATCTCCTAGAACACAGGACAAAAAGTTAGGGAAATGGGCAATACAAAAAAAAAAAAGTCCAATGTCGAACTTAATAGGCACTTCAGAGAAAGAGAGCAGGTAGAAAATTTTCAAAGAAAATAATAGAAGAATATATTCAGTAAAACTCAATCATATAATTCTTAGACTATAAGGACCTACTGAGCACTCAGCACAGTGAAGGAAAAACAGGTAATTTACAAAAAATTTTAGATTACACATGAGTAAGAGATTGTAAAAACTTGCATACAAGAAACTGAATAAAAACACACAACTTGAGGAAAATGGCATTGGATATCTCAATTACAGCACTAGAAACCAGATGATAATTCTTCTCAACCTTGAATTCTATACCCAGCCAAACTACTATACAACTACAAAACCAGAATAAAGGCATTTTCATAGCTGCAATGGCTGAGTGACCAAAAACCATTGGATTTTTGTTTTACACTTTCTAGCACCATTTGACTAGTAGCTTTACTTTATTTTGAACTGTACAGTTCACATACATTTTCAACTATTATCTCATTTTGGTCTGTGGGCACAGAGCACATTTTCTAGACTCTGTAATCATGAATGGGATCTACCCCTGGTTGGCATATACATCCCCTAATAAAATATGAGACCATGACATTAAAAAAACTCCATAAAAGTAATGACCATTATTCTT